CACGTCAATTTTGAGCGATTCCAGTTGATTTTGATATCATCTTCATCAGAGTGGAGGTGACCTTTTCTACAAGTCCAAAACGTCGCTCCAAGGCTATAAAAACCAGCCATTCTTAACAAAATCTCCGACCCATTTCTGGCCATCAGCGGCCGTTCAGCGAAAACGAACACACCACATGTCCATGGCAGGGCCCCTACATCATGCAAAAAAACGTTTTAAAAGCACTCCACACTCTAAACGACCTCTAAACGACCTTGTTAATCCTACAACGAATGAGCAGTGTCAGCCAAAAATCGAATTTTGCGAAGCTAAAAACTCGTTCGAAACAAGCTCTTCACTTTCTCACTATACTTTTAGTGATGAGTGACATAGCGTTGTTTCCATATCGTTTTAGTTCCACTGTTTTCAATTTTATGTACTTACCTTGGTTCACTATTTTTTTCTCCTCGTATGGAAAGGCGTATTGTTGCTGTTCCGTGCAATTTTCCTGCTCATTAGCTATTCTGGTGCAATACAAGGATGCTACGAAAAATCGGCAGCGTCTGCGAAACAACTCTTTAACGGGAGCACTCAAACCTTCCAGCAGGATTGCTTCGGTCACTGCGACGACGATGATGATGAAGAAGTTCTATTCACTACATTTTCTCCGTTATAGCAACTATGTGCATTGCGGCACTCAGTAAAGTACAGTTGACAAGGAATACACGAGTAAAGCAAAGAAAAGTGATCAGTGAGTACAACATGGGGATTACTTCTTCAAAAATTCTACTCCCAAACTTACCTGGTTGATACCCTATTTGATTGATACTCTATTCGCAGTGTAGAGCAGCATGTACTACTCTGAATTCTATAGAGAACTCTAAAAAGCTGGCCGGTTCCTGATAGCTTCCTAACGATCTTTCTCCAAAGCGCGTCGCTTCTCTTCCGCTTGTATCATATCCACTATTCTTGGTACCAGTAATGATGAAATCTTAGGATGTGCCAATTCCTTCACCTAAATAGGAGAAAATTGCGAACATGCTCAACCAATTTTCTTATAACATACTTGACATTAAAGTAGATCAAGAAGAAATATAAGCAGCGTAAAAAAACGTTGCAAAACGAAACGATATCTCATTTTCTTGAGCCTGCGTGCTGGCTACCCATCCTGATGGGCTCGTTGATAGATCAAGGCTTTGGAGAGGTGTATACTATTACCGAATAAATCGCATGGAACCAATTATTGGTAAGGGAGCTAGAATGCATGTTCTCACGAGGGAATAAAATATGTCACCAATTAAACAGGCAAGTTGCAGATCTGGTCGAAAAAATGTTACCTATCTTGAACTACATAGGAAAACACGCTCAGTGCAATAAATTACAAAAGATCCAGGAATGTTCGCTGAATCATAGACAAAAAGTACCACTGAACGGGAGTATAATTTAGGAAAATATTGTCGAACCTACCTTATATACCAAAGACGCACTATAGGCAGATATAATAGAAACGTCATAAATGG